ATTTATAGTATCTACTTTTCAGATGCCCTTGTTGATGGAGACCTCTTACAAGTTTTCCTACTTAAAATGTTTAGATTTGTGGTTGATTTTAGATGACAAAGAAGTTGACAATATTCTGTCTTTGGCCTCACTTTTGAGGGCTGCTCCTTTCGTTGAAACGTTAGGGATGAATGTGAGTATAGTACTCCTATCTCCTACAACGACCTTCACTTTGCTAAAAATTGATTGACTCGTTAACCATGAATTATGCCTATGCTTACCATGTTTTCTTCCTCAAACTTTTGCAGTTTCGTGTTTTTGGTGTCCCACATCATGTCTCAGAGCCTATTAAAAGCATTACCAGGTGTCCACATAATCATCTGAAGAACCTGCATATTACAGGATTTTCTGGAACAACAACACAACTTGAATTTCTAGTGCATGTTGTTGAAAGTGCCCATGCCCTGGAGATTTTGACGATTAATGGACCTGACATAGCTCGCCATGATGATAAATGGCTAATAAGATTCCGTTCCCTAGTTCGAGAATTGGAGAGAAAATATCTTCATGAAATAATTTCACCAAATGTGAAGCTCTCCATTTTCTCCCGGAATTATAAAATGCTGGAAGGACAGAAACACATGAGTTTTCTAGAAGAAATCGACGCCGCCATAATATATTATGCAACTCATCAATGAGGAGGCCAAGATTTGTGTCACCGCGGGGCCGAAACACTGGAGTCTTCCTTTGGTTTACAGGAATTTGGTAGGAATTATGTTGGAAAATATCCCTTGAATCTCTTTGATTTGTAGGAATTATTTCATATTCCTATGAAGGATAGGAAACAATTCTTCACATTTCGAAGGAAAAAATATTAGTCTAGTTCAGTTGAAAAATTCTCATCCTATACATCAGATAGCATCTCTCTTCCTATAGATATTGAAATATGTGTCATCTCACTTCCTATAATTTTCATACTTATGATATTCCTATCCTATGAGTCAAAGAAGTCCAGAGTTATTTCATGGCGCGGGAATAACAACTTTGTTGTATTCCAAACTGTTGTTGTAATGCACCTTCTTTTCGAGCATTAATCTTGTAAACTCTCTTCTTAATCAATGGACGAGACAAATCTTTTGCCTCCGTTAAAAAAAAAACTGAACATGTGTGTATGTACTCCCTCCGATCCTTTTTACTCTGCATATTAGATTTTTGTCAAGTCAAACTTTGCAAAGTTTGATCAAATTTATGTTAAAAAATACCGACATTTACAATATCAAATATATATATATATACTATGAAACTACATTTCATAATGAATCTAACAATATTGATTTGGTGTTATGAATGTTGGTACTTTTTCCTATAAATTTGATCAAATTAGAAATAGTTTGCCTTGGGACAAAACTTATATACGAACTAAAAAGGACAGGAGAGAGTAACTTTTTGGTTGTAAATTATGTCCAACGATTCGTCCTCAATGCCTTTTCTTCTTTCCATCGTCGAGTGTGTTTGCAAAATATTATGTTGTATTTGTAGAGCTCTGACAAGAAGCGTGGATGCTTGAAACCTGGGAGATAAACACTCTATGATAGCGAGCAGAAGCACAATCCAAATCGAAGGAAATGTAAATCAAGGACACAAGTTGACTACTATATCATTAGTTAATGTGTACACATAGGATAAGAAAGAACTGGTGTCACGCTGGATGAGAAAGGCACTGCTGGCTACTGTGTCATCCGCCATGGGCACGGGCTAGCGTATCATTGTCTCACACAAAAAGTATTACTTACAAATTTATCAAGAAATGAAATGAAAAAACAGTTATAACAGTAAAATAGGTTTCTATTCATCTTGTCGGTGCTAATCAAGACTGAAGTGTACTGCTCAAGGGTGAAAAAATCTCCTAAATTCTCTTCAGATTCTCCAGTTAAAAAAGGAAGAGCAGTCCACCCTTTCGTCCTCCCTTCTCCGACTCGTCTCGCAGTCGCAGTCCCTTGTCCTGACCGACCTCCAGTGGGGATCGGATCGGACCCAACGAGGCTCTGAAATACCACCCTCCGTAACCTAGAGCTGCCTCCGTGCCGTAGGCTAGCGTAGCGCCACCGCGGACGCCTCAACCCCAGCCCCCAAACTCATCTGCCGCGTCGCCGCCCATCGCCGTTCCGTTCAGCCGTCGCGCCGCTGCTGTCTCAACAGCGCCCCCAATCTTTGCCAGTGGTAAGTTTTCTTGTCACCCAGTGATGCGCTAACTGTCAGCCCCCACTGAATCCCACGAATTTCAGTCTTAGTGTGCCGGTGCCATCTAGATCCGCCCTGCACCCTCTCGCCCCCACAAACACCCAAACCCATCCTCTGATCTATCCCCGAAATCATAGTTAATGTGGTAAAATTTAACAAAAGTGACCTTTCGTTTTATAGTTCTGCTAGAAATAGAGCTCGTTTATTTGTTTGTCAAGGAAAAGTTTACAACTTCCACTAAAAAAACACAACTTTATGGACCGACTGTTCTATCTGGTTATGAGGGATATTAGAAACTAGAGATGGTATTGAATACAGCAACACTCTGTTATGCAGTTCACATGTTCGTTTTATAGTTTTGCTAGAAATAGAGCTGGTGTTTTTATCTGGCATGAGGGATAGTAGAATACAATAACACTCTGTTCTGCAGTTCACATGTGTTCTGGCCTTCCATGTTCGTTTCCTCGATCTGTTCATACTTAACCTGGCATCATTTGTGTGCAGAATCAAAATGGGCAGCGATCTAACACACACGAGAAAAAGAATGAGGCGTTACTACCACGGACCAGTCATTAAGAAAACGAGAGCAAAGGTTCAGTTTGCAGACCTTCCCGATGATCTGCTGTCTACGATTCTATCAAAATTGCCACTGAAGGAAGCTGCAAGAACCGTCATTCTGTCAAGTAAATGGAACGACGTGTGGAGAGTTTGCCCCAAACTGAGATTTGATGGCTTCACAGTGTGCAGTGACAGCGTGTTTGGGGGAGAACAGTACACTCAGAAATTCATTGACAATGTTAATGCAGTCATGCAGAAGCATCAGTGCATGGTCGTTGAAGAGCTCGTGATCAAATTTGGGTTTGACAAGAGGGTACTGGATCATATCAACATGTGGGTTGCTTTTGCTGTTTCATCGCGGACGGAGAGCCTTGCCCTTGATTTAGGACCAGTCGACATCCAAGGTCGTATTGATCAGTACAGATTTCCGGTCGAGCTTTTAGACAACAGAAGCATATCCCGGCTTCGTCATCTTCAACTTAGCGTTGCATCATTTGAACTACCCCTTCAATTCAGCGGTTTCCCGAATCTGAGAGCACTTGACTTGCACTTGGTAAATGTCACTCGGAAGGATCTTCAAGACATGCTGTCAAATTGCATTAATCTTGAGTGGTTCAGTATGGTTAGATGCCATTTGAATGATGAACTGATAGTAGCTCGTCCATTGTCAAACCTGATATACCTGCGTGTTGCACACTGCAAGATAACCAAGATAGTACTCCATGCGGTGGAACTCAAAACTTTCTTGTTCTATGGACGTCTGTATCCAATCGACCTTGGGCATACACCCAAACTGAAGCACACATTTCTTGATATTTATTCCCTGTTAACTGTTGAGCATGCTTTGACTGTGCTTCCCAAAGTGCTTCCAAGTGTTCAAGATCTGACATTGCATGCTCATTTTACTCTTAAGGTCTGTTGTCTCACATTTCTATTAATATCTACATTGTTTTATCACATTTCTCTGTCTCCTATTTTGACCATTTACTATCTATTTTTCAGATGCCTTTGTTGATGGAAAATCCGTGCAAGTTTTACCAGTTGAAATATTTACATTTGAACCTGTCAATTGGTCATAAAGAAGCTGCCAACATTCTATCTTTTGCCTCTTTTCTGAGGGCTGCTCCTTCTGTTGAAAAGTTAGAAATGCATGTGAGTATACTCCTATCTCTTAGACTTCACTTGATCGATTAGCGAACCATGAATTGTGCCTCTGCTTGATCATGTTTCCTCTGCCACGCTTTTGCAGTTTAGTGTTTTGGCCATCCCACATCGTGTCTCGGAGCCTATCAAGAGCCTTCCACGGTGTCCACATAGTTATCTGAAGAACCTGCATATTACAGGATTTTCGGGAACAACAGGACAACTTGAATTTCTAGTGCACGTTGTTGAAAATGCCCCTGCTCTGAAGATATTGACGATTAAAGGAGCTGACTCGATTGGTCGTGATCTCAATCATGAAGGGAAAAGAAAATTTTCTTTTAAGTTTCGGGAATTGGAGAGGAAATACCTTCATGGGATAATTTCACCAAATGTGGACCTCCGTATTATTTAAGTGTGCCAGACATCTAGCTGCTCTTGTACACGCAACGGGCTGCTGTTCCATTTGCCCATTCCACTTAAAATGTTCAGATTTGTGGTTGATTTTAGATCATAAAGAAGCTGGCAACATTCTGTTATTGGTTTCTTTTCTGAATGCTGCTCCTTCTGTTAAGAAATTAGTTCTGAATCCTCATCATTCTGTTTTTTTTTTGAGAATGCATGTAAATATATTTGTTCTGAATCCTCGTCTTGATTATGATTGAGACTATCAGAATTGAGAAGGTGTTGGACTGTTATCTCTTAGTGGCTCAACTAGAACCCTGAAAGCAATTTCAATCTCCATATCCAGTTGATTGCTTGAGCTTAAATGCAAAATATTGCGTTCTGATGGTAAGTTTGCACACAAAGACAAGTATGCGAATCCTGAACTACGAGTGAGCATAATGAACAGAAATTTCCAACAAAAATTTCAGAGTAAAAAAAGCAATAATTTCTACTCTGCAGTTCACAAGCTAACCAAGAAAAATCAATCTTGTGGGAGCCAAGAGCAATGTAAAAGGCTCTGGAGCTGCTCCAGACGCTCACTACAATTGACTATTTCCCCCATTAACCAGGTGGCTTGATCCAGTTTGCTGGATAGAACCTCCGGGTTGTCAACGCGAAGCTGACTTTTGAGAAGAACTTCACTGATTGCGATTGCATCAGCCAGTGTCGTATCAACCGAAACGCCCACGGGAATCGCCTTGTTGTCGGAGGCGGCGGTGACCGCCCAGAGCGCGTCCTCGCGCGTGCTGACGATTGGCACATAAGGTGAGGAGGCCGCGGGCGCCGGCGGCGGAGGCGGAGGCGGCGAGGTTGGTGGCGGCGGCGTCGGCTCACGCCTGGACAGCGGAAGTGGAGGATGCTGTCCAAGACCGAGCTCGGCACGCATTTGGCGCAAGAAATCGGCGGCGTTCTTCATCTCGTTGGCGTTATCGGGGGACTCGCCGGGGCCTCGGGCGAGACCAACCGGGCCACGGTCCTGGAGCGCGGCGAAGTCGCCGACTTCTTGGAGCGCGCCGAAGGCGGAGGGAGAACTTGGGTTCGGTCGCCGTTTTCTCGGCCCATGGGCCATTTCGAAATCTATTCTATTTAGGCTCGTAGAAAAAGTTTGTAATTTCCTCACTCACTCAATAAATAAATAAATAAATAAGAGAGCTTATTTCTTGTTAGTTTCTTAAGGGAACGCGAAAGCTTTATTGCTCAATAACGTTCATGCGGATACAAGTCGAGTCCGGAGGCCCCAGAAAACCAAATATGCCTACCCTCACCAAGGGAGGAAGACAATTTCGCTAAAGCATGCACGTCCCTATTGAACTCTCTCCGCTCATGGTCAAAGATGACCAACAAAAACATGTCCTTCCCGCTATCAATTTCCTTCAAGATCGAACCATAGCCAGTGAGTTTGTTACACCACTGCAAAATTTTATTTTATTTTAAAACAAAGGCTCAAGGGAAGCCCGACTTTGAATTAACAAAGCCATCAACCGGCCAGGATTACACAAGGCCACCAAGCAAGAGCGACCGAAAGATACAAATGAGCTGACAGAGCAGTTTACAACGCAACGCACACTACTGCACACATAGAAATACACATGAAAGACCTGCAAGTAATGTCGAAGCCCGCTGCACATCGGCACCACGAGTAAGGGAGCAGAGTAGCGTCAAGGATCAGCCAAAGGCTTGCAAGAAGCTGCGCGCAGCCGGATCGTGGTATTGGGATCACGAAACCTGTCTTCCAACGCCGAAGAAGACCCCAATCCTCTCGCCTAGGCTCGAAGGCGCCGCACCATCGGGTCGTTGGGCGCTCACCCGAGAGCAAGAGCAGGTGCCGGTCGAAACCCAGAGCAGGCATAGCTCACAATCCTCACCACGCCGAAGGCACACCAGTAGCTGCACTGCCATCTGCCCGGGGCCACCGAGAGCAGAAGGAAAACCATTGGGAGGATTGTTGAAGAAACAAGCTGCAAAGACCCAAGGAGCTTGGGAAGCCTCTGCTTGGACTCACAGCCGACGAGCGCTCTTCTACCTCGGCACCACTCACCCGGAGAACCAGACAAACCCAAGGCGGCGCCTCCAAGGAGGGAACGACGTGCAGGACCCGCCACCGCCCAACCCGAGATGAGTTTTGGGCTTTCACCCGGGATCTGGGACGGGGATGGATACAGGAGACCTCAGCGGTGCCTCGAAGGAGAAAAGGCGATGCGCGCATGCGCCCTCACCATCGTGGTCAGAGATCCGACCAAGGGTTTCCCCCGGACTCGAGATATGCCGCCGACACCCCGCCAGCATCGGAACTGGCAGCAGAAGCTGCAGATTGGACACAACCGGAGGGGAGGAGTGAGCAGAGGAGGAGGAGCAGCTCGACCTTCATATCTGGAGCGGAAGAAGACCGCGCCACGACCACCACCCGCCGGATCCGCGCCGCCCGAGCAGCCGAGGACGCCGGCCGTCACATCCCGCGCACGCCGCCTATCGCAGAGGCTGCGCCGCCTCGCCGTCCGGGCCCGCCACCCCGGTGACCGGGGTCCTTCGCGCGGGAACGGAGCGACGAGAGGCCTCGCCGCCACCTTCATCGGCAACCGCCGGGGCTTGCCAGGCGTCCCTCAGGTGGCGGCGAGGGGAGGAGATGTAGGGAGGGGTGGCGGCGGCGGGGGG